GGCGAAATGGCTTGCTCGTGCTCTTGTTGCAGCACCTTGGTGCTGATGCAAGGGGCGGGGGCGGGCATCAAGGCCGGGGAAGTCAAGGCCCCTCCCACCGGGCGTCGGACAATAGCGGCTGACGAGCCGGCAAGCGGACAGTTGGCTGGCCAAGGGCGAACGTGGTTCCGGAAACATAGTCGGCTATCCCGGAATTGAGCTTCGATGGCGGAGGCTTTGACGGAGGCTGCGTCAGGCAGACAGAATTGATTGGAAAGGCCAGGAATCGGACTTGTGGTGGTGAAACGTCGGTAGTTGGCTTGGTGTGGCTGGTGGGCCGGAAAATTGTTTCTTTTCTGCGGTGCGGTTTCCTTTCATTGCACACAGGCGAGGCGACGGGAAACGGTCGAACCTTCCCTCGAGCAATGAGCAACGACCGCTGGGATGTCCGATGCTCCTGCCACATACACCGGATGGGCATTGTCCGTCCCTTCCACGTCCAGTGCTTGCCTGCGCCTGCATCTTGTCCTGCAAATACCGCATTGAGGGGAGCAGGAGAGGGTCACTACTGCCTAGGTAGGTAGGTAGGTAGGTAGGTAGATAGGTATGCAGTGTAAGTGAGTGAATGTACTTGCTCTATTCGGATAATCTTTTGCAGCGCAGAGTTCGGTTCCCCGGTGAAAGAAAAGCCGGGTTATTGTACCTATACATACAGCTATATCCGACCTTTACTGTTGTTATTCGCCTAAATGCACGTGAACGAAGAGCTCCAACCGCGGTCTCTAGTGGCGTTGCTGCATTCCAACCCATCGCCTTGGCGTCTCGTCACAAATCACCCCTCGCTCAATCACCTCACCACCCGCCGGCCATTCGACAGCTGCACAGAGACGGATAGACGGATAGACGGATAGACAGACCTCATCCGCCCTGGGCACCGACGCTTCCTGTCCCAGACTACAAACCACTTGACGTTGCCGCACGATGACAGTGTTGTTAGCAAATCACTGTGGGTGCCACCCAATGGACCCAGCTTTGCAAACATGTCATGGTCAGTGTTGCTGTGCCCTCCTCCTCTGCAACACAGAGACGAGACATCCCGCAAGCCAAATCGTCTCGGCAAAGTACCGACATGATCTTCCTGAGAGAGATATTGCTTCTATTGCGAACACGTCAGATATTGGAGATAGATAATCCCGCATTGCCTTCACCCACCACCAGTCTACAATAGCTGGTCCGCTGGGAACGTCGCTTCCCCCACCGGATCACACCCTCTTGCGCGCGCCTCGCCAGGGGTCAGTCAGACTTTCCCCCCTCTTCCCGCCGTTATTATCGCAAATCGCTGGTGAAACGTACTTCGTGCGTGTGCGTGCTGTCCGAAGATCCTGCGCACATCCGCCCGCACTATCTGCGCTTCATGCTATCCGCTTATTGCCGCCAGCCATCGAGCACAAAGCGAAGCGTTTTGATTTGGAGGACCCAAGCTCAGTCTTCATCCGGCCTTAAGCATAATAACGCATTGGCTCAACCCATAGCTTGAGCTGCCGTCTCTGCCTGCGCCCTCTACTTATCTATCTCTGCCTCGTGCTTGTACCGTACCTTGGCCCCGCTATCAGTTTTTTTTTTTTGTCCTTTCCACATTTTTTCAGACATCTGGAAACGTCCATGACCCATTCCGCCGCTTCGTTCTTGAACCGACCCTCGGCCCTTATTACCTACCTACCCGAGTAGAGCACAGAGCAGAGAGAGCCGTCCCTCCCCGCGCCTGGAGCCTCCTTCGCCTGAACTGTCACACCTTCCACGTCCTTGGACCTGCCAACGCAAAAGGATCGCATCCCGCAGAACGAAGTCGAAGTTGTACACAGCTTCTCCAATTCCGGACTACCCCTCTTTCTGCACCAACAACAGGCCGTTTTTTCCCCCCGCCTCAATCCTTTCCCCCCTTTTACAACCTCGCTTTCGACATCAATCTTCCACGCCACCCCGCCTTCCACATATACCTTTACCCCACCATGAGCAACAAACAGCCGAACCTCTTCGCTTACCCGTCGGTTGACGCCCTCGCGCCTGCTCTGCGATCCTACGTCATCCAAGCACAGAATGCCGGCCTGAGCCGTCACGGCGCTTTCAAGGTCGCCGTCTCGGGCGGTTCCCTGCCCAAGACTCTGGCACAGGCACTCCTGGCCCCTTCGTCTGGGCCCGATGACCAAGTCCACTTTGGCAAGTGGGAAATCTTCTTCGCCGACGAGCGTGCCGTGCCCCTCGACCACGAAGACTCCAACTATGCTCTTCTCAAGAAGGAGCTTCTCGACAAGATCCCCGCCGAGCTCGGTGCCCCGACCGTCCACCCCATCGACACCACCTACCTGAACGACACTCAGGAGCTCGCCGACCAGTACGAGAAGACGCTCGTTACCAGTTTTGCCAGCCGCGACAGCGTGCGTCTGCCCATCTTCGACCTCCTCCTGCTGGGCTCTGGACCCGACGGCCACACCTGCAGTCTGTTCCCCGGCCACGAGCTGCTGCGCGAGACCACCGCCTGGGTCGCCCCTATCGAAGACTCGCCCAAGCCCCCTCCCAAGCGTATCACCCTTACTCTCCCCGTCGTCAACCACGGCGTCAAAATTGCCTTTGTCGCCACTGGTGGCGGCAAGAAGGAGATCATGAAGAGAATCTTTGAACACGGCGACGGTCTTCCCTGCGCCCTCGTCAACGAGGGCGCCGGCGACCGTGTCAGCTGGTTCGTTGACAACGCTGCCGTCGAGGGCGTCAGCTACCCCCGCCGTCCCTTCTTGTGAGCAACACAGTAGTAGTGGACGACCGGAGCGGAGGGAGGAAGGAAGCCGGACATGTGGAGGATGATTGCGCATTAAAAGATTTGTTGCTCATTTTCAGATAGACGGGGATTCGATGAACGGCACATCTCCGGAAGAGATGGAATTTCAAAGAGGATCAATCGCAGAACACATTCGGGCATCTTGCGAGCGTCGCAGGCTTGCCCCCAGACCTTCTCCCACCATTCCTTGGGGTTTCTCGTCAAAGCCTTTGTTCTCTGGATCTGTTGGCCTGGCCCCGAATTTTTTGATATCCATCGACGCCAAAACATTATGATTTCATGATACGAAGGAAATGAGACAGAGGCAGAAAAGGAAGGACCCTACCGAACGGATCCGGCACGCTGCCGCCATATAGCACGTTTAGCAGTAGATAGTACGACGGCGTCTCTCTTGACGAAGAGGGGAAACCTGAGTGCAAAAAAAAAAAAAAAAAAAAAAAAAAATCATGGAGGTCAGCTCATCCGGCGCACATGTGATCAGCCCGCACCCACGTATCCGAATCCAAAGTCATGTCTTCCTTCGCCCCTGTTGTGGCCCCGGGCGACGGGTAAGCCCGTGAGAATGGGGCGTCATCGCATTGTGGAGCGGGTGTGTCTGGTTCTGCATTTCCCGCATCATAGTAAGTACCGTGTGTGCGCCACCCCTTGTCTGCCTTGGTGAAACGCCACATATCTCACCCCGCCGATGACGATCCCCTATAGGGCTGAGGACGAAACACTTCCTCATCTTCTGCCACCTTCGTTATTGATATTGCGGGAAGATCATCAAGGGGGGGCGGTGGGCCGTTGGGGAGTCTAAATCCACTTCAAGTCATGTCCTCATGTCTGGGGAGAGAAGGGGAGTTGACGAACTTTTCTTTTCTTTTCTTATTTAAAAGAAAGAAAAAAACCCAGACGTGGATAATAGTACACGAAACTGAGTCACGCGGAAGTAGTCGATACTGTTCGAGCTGGCATTGAGCAGGAGAAAAAGAAAAAGCGAAAGAAAAAAAAAAGACTTGACGGGCGACGCGGCGGGAAATGACGTCGTTGAGGGGGTAGAGAGACAGACACAGTCTAGGCCTTCCTGGGCCAAAAGATCCGCTTCCTTCGAGGGGAGGAAGAGGGGGGAGGGCCCGGGGACCCGGCGTGTATCATTCCGGAAGCGCGAGCGGGCAACGCCACTGCCCGTCCCTCCCCCCTCCTTTTTGCACGCAGGGCCTGACGGTCCTGACTAGCCGCCGGTCCGGGTGTCTTGGGGGCGGGGTAAAGTTGAGCGAGACGAGCCTGACGACGAGTGAAGGCCGTGTTGGCATGGGGGGCATGGGGGGGCACGTTGAGCGCCGGCCGGCTTCCCTCTTCCCCAGTACGGTGTGGGTTTCGCCCGAGGACATTGCTCCTCCTGTTCGCTGTCGATGGGATTCCGGGACGGTCATCGAAAGATGCCACGTTCGAACGAGTCAAGAACGTTGGAATGCTGTTAGTTGCAAGATCTGGGGAGACAGGTAGATTGTCTCTTGGAGTACCTCTTGATGGGTTGCTGTTCCTTCTGCGGCATACCCTATAGAAGTAGCGCGGCGATTCAAGTGAATTGAGTTCTGTCTTGGATGAGAGCACGGCCCCCAACCGTAGTCACTGTTTCTTGAGCTCGCCCTTGGGGAGAGAAGGGCCAAAAGTAAGGGAACGGTCATCGAAGGCGGCCTTCGGTGAAACAGAGTGGAGTGGCTGCAATACCAACACAATGTCTCTTTTATGATCTATGCTCTGCAGGAAGAGGCAGAGTCGGCCGGCGTGCCAAAGAGACTAGGTTAAACTTGGCAGATACCTACAAAGTCTCTTCAACTCCGTGCGCTCAGACCAGGGACGGAAATAATATGTCGTTATCTAAAGGCCCGCCTACATGTAGATATCGGGGGAACCGTTTGAGCTTCTGCGAGAAAGACGAGTAGAAAGATACGAGTCCTTTTTGGCTTCACTGCGGGCGATGATCATCATGAGCGAGGGGCTCCCGAGCAAGAACGAAGCAAGGAATCACGGATACAATAAGTCAGGTTGATTCTCTAACCTGGCCCCCATATATTTGTCTAGTCACGGCCCGTATACTCACAGAAGGCTCTTGGAGGGCATGTAAAAGAATCGGAAAAGTTAAAAGACACAGTCCTCAGGGAGTCCTGGAAAGCAGTGCGCCACATGGCCGGGCTGATGTCTCCTAGTCCCTGCGGAAGACGGCTGGACGGCCGGAACAAGACCAGTAGTAGGCCTTTGAGGAGTACTCGTAGTCGCTGCTGTAGGTTGCTGTCTGCGGGTACGGGCACAGGATACAGTCATGCGTTGCGTTGCCGACGGCCACGCTGACCAGCTTGTACTCCCAGAGGCGTAGCTGCTCAAGGAGCCCGACCGCCGCGCCCACTGCGCCCTCCTGAAGCAGTGGGTGAGGCCGGAGGCTTCAAAGTACCGTTGAAATTCCCGGACGTCGGGGCTAATGTCTGGCACGGCCTTGTAATAATTATCGGTTGCCGTGGGCGTAATGGTATCATCGGCCTGTCGGGGAACGTGTCAGCCGTCCTGATTGCCAAAACGGATGGGGGACGAAGAGAAAGTATGGCGGGGGGAGGGGGAGGGGGTGTGCTCACTAAGCCATGTGAGAAACCATTTTCCCTCACGCGGCCTTGGAGGCCCTCGGGTCCGGGTCGACGGCATCCAGCAAAGACTAAAACCGGTCGTCCGCACGTACAAGCGTATCGAATCCCGTACGGTTCGGGTTCGCCAAGACGAACACCGGGTTCCTGTCCAAGAAGAACCGGACCGACGAGGACCCAAGGACAAAGGGCGCCCTCCGCACCCCCATCCTAGCCGGAGGTCGTGACCGCGAGGCTCCCCAGCTCGAGCGGGAGCCCTCGCGACAATGCCGTCGTAGACGTCCGGGTATCGCTGGGCTAGCATGAGGCCCTGGTGCCCGTCTTCAGAGCAGCCGATCCGGTAGGAATACGTCGGCTCTTGCCTATAAAAGCTCTTGATGAGAGATTTGCCGGCCATTGCCTTCAAGGCGGATTCGCGTTTGTCAGTGGCCTGTCCGAAGGCGTTGCAGAAGAAACCGACATGAGAATCCTGAGCGGAAGGATATTGCCTGACGCAGCAAACTAGCGACTTGTACGTACCAAGTCGTTGAGAGAAACAGAGCCCAGGTTCTGCAAATTGTACAGGTTGACATTGCCAGGGGCTCTGGTAGTGAGACTCTGCGTGGAGCATACGCAGCTGCCTATCATTGCTACGAGTGAGACGTTCCTGCTGGTCGTATCTTGCATGTAGTGCCAAACTGTTGGCCGTACAGCATTGGTGCCAATCACAGTGAGCAATATAATTTACTCTCCCGAATAACCTGGCACTGCTAGATGGTCAGAATATACCCGGATCACTGCGTCTAACCTACAACCAGATTATAGTATCTGGGCAACCCGATGCGACTTCCGGTACTGTGCCACGCAGTACGGTGTATTTTTGTTAGCTTTCGGTGCGGGGCGTTTCTCTGCTTCGAGGCAGACCTGTCGGAGATGACAACCCGTCAATGATGTTGCACGGAGAAGAAGCTGTCACGATCAAAATATGTAATTTAAAGCTAAGTCGCGTCTATTGATGTGTACCAAAAGCCCAGACGCAGAACCGGGGTTGTTTGATCTTTCTGCGGGCTTGGATGTCCAGATATCAATGTCGAGAATGGAGTTGGGGACGATTGGCGACAAGGCTACACTACATATGCCACCCCTGGACAAAAGTCCAGCTAATCGCATGTGAAGGCCGAAAAGGTAAGACACTCCCCAGGTCGATGAACAAGCCCAAAGATAACAACTCTGGCTTGACCTTGCGGAAGGCCGCCCCCTTACCTAGGTACCTTCAGTTACGATAGCTTCATGCATTATTGGCACTTCGTATCAGCCTTTTCAAGTGCTATATCATGTGACGTTTCAATAATTACTCGCATTTTCTTCGCTATGTACTAGAAGAATAATCTTTCCATATCTTGACTCTCATAGTGTAAGCCTTTCTTGGCCCAATCCTCCCATGCCCCTGTGTGTGCTCCAACTCGTGACAGTAGTCATACGGGCAGCTCAGCAGGCTCCTGACGCCTCCCTATGCTGCTGGCCTGCGATGACCTCTCCTCGAGGACCTGCACGCTCTCCGCTAAGTGGCTGGTTCCCTGTTCTCGCGCAGGCCCCACTCCTGAACGTAATGTGTGCCAAGATCAAAATGTTGTGTTAGGTTTGTCATGACATTTGGTCCCGCACTTCATAAGGCAACCGACCAATGAACACGGGTACGGTGTGGCGGGCTTAGGGCATTGGCACATGCGTTGTCTTCCTGACTTTGTGTCTGCGAGTGTCCATGTTAGCTAGCGTTGCATTGATTCCATTAGCAAAAATACGTACAACAACAACCACCGAATCTACTAGACAATTGGTGGAGCTAGTTTAGGGTGAGGTATAATTAGCTTATGATTAGTTAAGGCGTTAAAGGAAGCCTACTGTCTATGAAAGGATTAGCATATGATGTTTGGTCGTGGGGTTTTATCTCAGCCTAGACTTACTTGATCATCGGAAGACACTGGAGTTGCAAGGCAGATTGCCGCGAGAGCTGTGAGTAATAGGAGAATGCACTTCATTGTGAACACCGGGTTTAGGCAGGCGGTGCCAAACTATAACAACTGACAAATAGACAGAATAAGGTAGGAAAACGAGCTTCTATTGTAGAGAAGCGTACTCTTGTTTGTAAAGATGGTTAGACATGCTTGTTTGTCTGTGGAATAGGGCAATTATGTAGTAGTCACGCGTCCGGAGCAAGCGAGAATAAGTGCTGATACGGAACGCCAAGAATACAGTACCGCGGGAATGGCAGTTCGCAATCAATGTGTCGGTGGGGCAACTATCATCAAGGCGGTGCCGGATTTAAATTGATAACCCTGCTATGCGCCAGACATTGACTTAAGATATGACTCGCAACTATGCATCTGCGGGCACGACTGCTATTCGGCTTGTCCGGGGCAAATTATGATCAGCCCATTGATTCTACACATCTGTCACCGTTACAGGCATATGTTTTGAGCTACAGCTGGAGCAGGCGGGGTTTTCTCTTATCTTTTCCTAGATATCGCCTACCTTCGTGGTGGGCATTACCAGCACAAACTGCGAGAATAAAAACACAATGACGACTGCCATAACCAACGTAAGACCCCACCTCGGACCACCCCTAATGTCGGACCATGCAAATACGCACCAAATTCACAGATTTACTACACTAAATCTACAGATTTAGCTATTTTATAAATATTAGAGAGAAGTCTAAAAGAGATGAGATTTTTAGTATACTTTCTCCTATAGAGTATAGTTAATATATAATATAAAAAATCTATATATATTTATTATACACTTAGTTATACCTATTTTACCTTATTTACTTTTATTAATAATAGCCTATAAATATAACTAGTATTATATAGCCTATAGAGAATTATACTATACTTATTTTGTAGTATATTACGCTTATTAAAAGCTATCTATAATTATTAAAGTGTAATGTACTTTAAGCCTGTCTCTGATTTTTAAGAAATAGTTAAGTTAATGCACTTCTCTTATCACTCTGCTATCTAGGGGTGGTCTGACATTAGGGGTGGTCCGAGTTATAGGGCGGGGTCTTACTCCATAATCACAATAGAGAAGAGGAAAGTCGAGCGCCTTCCACTGGGCCAACCGAGGAAACAGCAATTGAACCCAATTAGCAGATCTGCTCTTCGGAGTATGTCGCGATGCCTTTACGTAGTACGGCATCGCGCACCCTCGCGAGATTTCATCGGGCCGGAACATCTAATAGTCCGATACTCCCACCTACCCAACCCGCCCCGAAGATACGTATATCTACGGCGCAGACCAGGCAGTCTCACACGTAGAAAATTCAAGCCGTTTTCCTATGACTTTTCCCACCCAAAAAAGTGCATCGTGACAGTTATGAGCCCAGTTCGTTGTGTGAGGCTTTGTGCTACAATGGTCAAAGTGCAGAGTAACGTCTGAGCGTCATAGACCCTACAGATTTCAATCCCGTGAGGCCAGGCACAGGTCGCAAGCAAATACTCCACCTAGATAAGTCGAGTGATCAGACAAGCTGATAGTGTCCCCCCCCCCCCCCCCCCCCCCCACCTGTCAACCCGAGAGTACCGTGCACGATAACTGTGATAAACCTCAGCAGACAGTGGATTTAGTGATAACACAACTTCAAAAGGGATGGTCTTGGCCTATCCTGACCCGGAGCGCAGCGTAGGAAGCAGGGTGGGTTAGTACTATTCCAACTCTCCCCGGCGGGCAGCGGTAGAATGCTAGAGCAATTTGTTCGGCGGCCAGTGGTTAAGCCTATTTTGGAAGGCACTGCCACCACTGCCACAGCCGCCGTCCATAACCCATGCAAAAAACGCCCTTTTCGCCACAAATCCACCGTCGCTAACAGACACCTACGATGCCTAAGATAGAGCCCTCCTACCTAACCTTCAAAGAGTGCTAGCGACGCGTATAGATTTACTATTATAATAAGGGTATTGCCCTTTAAGCAAAAGGCTAGACTAATAAGCGTAATTAATTTAACTTTATCTACAGCTTAGCTAGTATTGCCTACTTTAGGCTACATAAAGAAATATATTGCCTAACTTTACGTAACTTTCTAAATCCTGGCCTTCTTTCTTATTGATTAGTTAAGCGAAATCTGAAATAGGCTTAACCCACTGGCCGCTAAACAAATCTCTCTAGCATTCTACCGCTACCCTCCCCGGCGGAGCCTTTTTGGAATTAAAAAAAATCTAAGAAAACTGGATTTGAACCTGCAGCCTTTAGGATATGAGGTTTATCGCTGTTATTGTGCACGGTACTCTCGGGTTGACAGGGGGGGACACTATCAGCTTGTCTGTAGACTCAGGTCAGGGACAGGTCGCAAATACTCCACCTAGATAAGTCAGACGGCAACTACCTATAGTTTAGCGAGATATACTCAATTAGAAGGTTAACAAGCGTTGTAATCTTCCCTAGGGCAATGCGTACCTTTAGGGGCTTCCCTGCCTGAAGGCAGACTACAGAAAAAGTGGTTTTCTGCAATCTGGGTGGGGGTGTCACGATGTGATATAGGGCGTTCGTTAATTGCTGCCCGCAATTAACGGCGTCGTTTGTGCGCTACAGGGTATCAATAAAGCCTTATTTTGCGCGCGGATCACAGACACAGGTTTTTCCCACTCAAAAGAGAATGATTGACAGAAACTACGGGCTCTACCTTGATGGATTGCCCGTCAGTTGTCCTTGATGGCTTGGGATCCAAAAAATGCCATCAAAGTAGCTATCTTTTAAATCTACAGTATACTGCTTGATGTTTGCACATATTTAGTCTATTACAAACGTGACAATGGCCCGAAGAATGCAAAACTATATTACAAGGCTCAGAAAAGAAGTGCGAAAAGTATGAAGGAAAACCGTGCCGACGTATGGAGTCAGCCGCCCCTCAGAGTGCGATGTTTTCAGCATCTGAAAGCCAAGCTTTGCAATACGCGGAGTCATTACTGGAACTGTTCCCTACGTGTTGGATCTTCCGGCACATTGTACCATGATATAAACATGTCTCCTCCCTGTCTGTGGAGGCGGATGAAGTAGCTGCGCCGGCGCTTGTTGAGTTAAGAGTAGTATGGCAATGAAAAATGTCGATTTCGGAGCAGCCTCCCTCTCTATGGGGGGGATCCTAAGACCCCTAGTATCGAGTTTCGGAGTATGGAAAGTATGCAGACACAGCCAAGTGACAGTTATGATTCGCTTTCGTCTATAGATAGTACCATGGAGCCATCATTTCTTGCAAATCATGATGTTCCATGTCCATTTCCCGGGTCTTAGTTGGGATCTTATCACGGATGACCGTCATGAAATGCAGCGGTTGGCCATCTGGCTCATATTGGCGTTCCCACTGATATGTTGGATAATTCTGCATGATTTTGGTAAAACCCGCGAGCAAGTTGCTGATGCTGAGCAAACGGGTCCTAGACAACCTATACTTATCATGTCCTAACCGGGTTGCGATTGTGCGGAGTTGTATCGTTGATTGTGCGTTGTGTTCTTGTTAATTAGCGTCCTTGCCCCATCCCTTTGCCGTGGCTGGATGGCCTCTGCTTATTCGGTTCCTTAAAAGAAACGGGACTTAATGTTTCAGCTATTGGATAAAGACCTATGCCCCATTTCGCCAGCGTAAGGTAATTGTCTCGAGGCTATCCAAGCCAATTCTCCTGAGCGGAGCACTAATACGTTGCGTTAGATCTGTGTTGACTTCATGCCATAGCACCATCGCCAAGTAATGATGCGTGGTACATACAATACGTGAAAATTGTACGCCCTAGTATCACACAATCGCTCTCTTGGCACATATTCCTAATAATCCATCGCTTAATGTCAGTCGACGAAACGTCATGGATGGCGTATCGAGCTTCACCCGCCTCTCAAGCTTAGACTCAAGTAAATGTCAGACCACAGAAAATGGATGCGAGCTGTCATTCAAGCAATGTGTTATGAGCTTTTTCTTTGAAATAAAGGCAACAGACGTCAACAGTTGCGATTTGGGCTCTAGCCTGAATTATCTTTAATCTATGAAGGCAACGGACTCTGACTAGGTTCGGACTGTAGGAACTATGATGGACACCTAACGCCCGTCTTTTCATGCCGCTGCTAATGCGACCCCCAGTGCATATCCTGAAGGGTCTCAGCAATCTACAGCTACTTCTGGCAGCTTCGTACTTAGGCTGGACCCAATGGCCTGTCGGACGGAGGCTGGATGTGGACCGGCACAGCGAAATCGTAGCTAGCCTTTGGGACAGGCAGGGAGTCGATCACAACAGGCTCGCCGGTGAGAGTGAAGTCAAAGACCAAAGATTTGTCGTTGTCCAGCTCTAAGGTATAGTCACCGGGGAAGATCGTCAGGTTTCCGTGGGAGTCTGATCTGGCGAACGAGCCGAGGGTTAATTTCAGCGTGAGCTGGTCGCTGGCACCAGCCTCGACGTCGCGAGCCCGCGAGTATGACACAAGCGACTTGTTCGGCCGCGGTACGGGGCCGGCGTTCTTGCTCGAGAGGAAGAGAAGACCGACGTAGTCAGATCTGACATTGCCCACGTTTTCGACAGTCACATTGACTGACGTGAAAGACGTGGTGTCTGTGACGTGTCCATCGGTCTGGGACCGTGCCCAGGAAATGATGTTGGAAATATCATATGTAGGCTCTAATGTGTCCTTCCAGGTAAAATCGAACTTGGTGTAGTGCAGACCGAACCCGAAAGGGAATACAGGCTCGCCGGTGAACCACTTGTAGGTCCTTCCCGGAAACGTCCCGTTTGGTTGGAGGTTGATGTTGAAGATGCTAACACAATCGGTGTAGCTGGCAGGGTACTGCGTGGTTGGCAATCGGCCAGCAAAGGACGCCTTGCCGACGACGAGATCATGCAGGGCCAAGCCTCCGGCCTGGCCTGGCAGCCCTGCCCAGAACAGGGCATTCACGTTGGCGTTGTTCACCAGGGCAGTGTCATCGACCTGTCCACCGCCGAACTGAGCAACGACCAGGGGCTTGCCTAGCATCGATAGTTGACTGATGAGATCGAGTTGGTTTCCTGGCCAGGTGATGGACACACGGTCACGCGCCTCCGCCTCGATAGTGGTGTCGATTCCACCGCAGAAGATGACAAGGTCGGAATCCTTGGCGGCAGCCAGTGCTTCCGCGAAGCCGCTGTCGCTGGTGCTGTTGATGTCGGTGCCCGCTGCATAGTTGACTTGCAGGCTGCTCTGCTGCGTGAAAGCCCAGAGAGGGCTCCGCACGAAGGGTGCTCTCCCCAAGTAGTTCCCTTGCATCTGCGTCGTGGCGTTGGCGAAGGGCCCGATGAGGGCGACGGACTTGTATTTGTCGTTGGCGAGCGGAAGGACACCGTCATTCTTGAGGAGGGTCATCCCCGCGCGAGCAGCCTGATAGGCAATCTGCTGCGCATCGACGGTCGACACGTCAGACCAGCCCAGTGAGCCATGGCTACTGCCATCGAAATATCCCACGGTGAAGAGTGCCTTGTACAGGCGCGTCAGAGCCTCGTCAACGCGTTCCTGCGTGACCTGGTTGTCGGCCAGGGAGCCGTTGAGGTGGAGGTAGGAGGAACCACACTCTAGATCTGTGCCAGCAGCCATCGAGACGGAGGCTGCGTCCTGCTCCGTGTCGGTGAAGTTGTGCAGAAGCCACACGTCCGTCACCGCGCCGCAGTCGGACACGACAAACTGATAGTCGTCGGTGAAGCCCCAGGTATCTCTGAGGACCTCCTTCAACAAATACTCGCTGCTGCATGCCGGGATTCCGTCGACACTGTTGTAGGAGCACATGACGCTGCCGACATGGCTGTCTCGCACACAGCGTCTGAAGGCGGGCAGGTAGTAATCCTGCAGGTCTTGCTGAGTGGGATTGTAGTTGTTGGCACGCCGGGCAGTTTCGATGTCGTAGGCAGCGAAGTGCTTGCAAGCAGCGATGATGACCTTGTCGGTGGGATCGCCGCCCTGCAGGCCCGTGACATAGCTCTGGACGTAATTGGAGACGACCAGAACGTCTTCCCCCGGGGTCTCTTGGCCTCGGCCCCATCGGGGATCCCGGAACGCGTTCATGTTGGGCGTCCAGAAGTTGAAGCCTGCATAGCCGTAGTTGCTGAAAGCGCGACCCTCCTTGCCGATGACCTGGCCGATTGCATTGAAGAGGTCGTCGTCGAAACTTGCCGCCGTCAGAATCGGCAAGGGAAAGCTCGTGGCGTGACCGAAGGGCTCCGAGTCTCCTGCGAACAGCACGCCAGGGGAAAAGCCAACCCCGTGAAGGCCCTCGTTCCACCAGGCGTGAGGTGGGAGCCCCAGCGACTTGACGCCGGCGGAGGCATCGACGAGATTACGAACCTTCTCCTCCACGCTCATGTCGTCCACGAGCGACGCAACCCGTTCGGAGATACTCTTCGAAACATCGCAGACGGGGTGCTCGCAGAGCGGGTAGGTTTGACAGGCGGGCGGAACAGGAACGGCGGATGCATCACGGCTTCCAGGGTTTGTGATTTTATACACAGACACGCTTCACACGCACACACTAAAGTCAGCCCAGCAAGCGTCAGGATAGGGCTCAACTTACTAGCCGGACGATCCGCACATGAGCGAAGGATCAGTGGGGCATTCCGTGTTACACTTATCATCGGACGTAGCAGGCGCGTCGCTCATGCTCGATCCACACAGGCATTGACTGTTGACACAACCTAGTTCAGCCCTTCACTTGTCTCTTATTTCACTCGCGAAGGCGTGTCCGGACTAACTCACGTTCCCGAAGAGATCGCCCCGTAGGCAAACCCTCTCTCTCCGCAGTAGTCGGAGCAAACCTGGGGGGTCATGGCGATGGAATACAGCTTCCCTTTGTTGAAGAAACCACCGCCGCCTTTGAAGCATCCCGCATAGTCTTTGGTGGCCGTATACGACGAGGAGCTGTCTTCGGAGCAAACGAAAGAGGCGGCCTGAGCCCCTGCTAAGAGTGAGAAGGCCGTCAAAACGGTTGGAGAAAGGAAAGCCATGGCGATGTCAAGTCTTGGGCCTCCAAACGAGCTGCTCCCACGCTGACTGCAAAGGTGATGAGGGCGATAGTCAAGCGCTTTATGACTGAAGGTCATTGTCGTCAACTTTGGAACCAGCCAGTTCCCGAGAATCCTCATCAAACAACTAGAAATGATGTTCAGTTGCATGTAGCTTTGCACTAAGACATGCCCAGCGACGCAGGTCGGGCGGGGGGGACCTTGCGATGTGGCTCTCGCCTACTGAGGGTTGGTTGGTACATTATACGACTACCTCGTATCCAACCTTAATAGTATGCGCGGCGGCGTCACGGACCTGGTCCCCGAGAAATCATCCTGAACACCCGCTGGTTAGTCAGTTGTTGTGAACCGGCCAATGGTCGCTGGATGGAATCAGTGACACGACCGAGGTAGCAACTAGAAGACCGGCAATTCTTTTGGGAAAACCTTGATAAATGAATCAAAGGTCCAAAGCCGCCGAGAAGAGGGCTGGTGACACCCTCCGCCCAACCAAAAGGCACAAGGTGCGATTTAGACACCACCAATTCGAGCCCTGCAGGGATGGTTGCGTTTGACGACGTCGAGTCAACTCTTCTGTCATTGGCTGCGGGGATGTCTGCCCGGTGGCAGTCGAAGAGAGAACAAACGAAAAACGGAGCTCTTACATCGGCACCCACCGAGCTACTTACAGGTTACTGGCAATCTCCAGTTCTGGGGTGTTCTGTTACGAGGTCATCGCCAACGAGTCAAGAGAGTTTCCGGCGCGTGCGGGCTGTTCGAAGAAACGAGTCGGTTCACCTTCCTACATGTAATCTTTCTTCATCATGACTTATGGCCAATCTACGTGGCGGCTCTTTCGACTCGCGGGGGTGCAGCTTGGCGAGCATGGGCGAATCATAGGATTATTCCCCGTAACACACGCCGCGGCTGTAGCAGAGACAACCGACATCCAAATGATCAGACGCCAAGACATCTAAGGAGGTAGCCAAACTCAAGAAAGTCTCAATCAACCCACTCTTTCACGACGTGACGCAGTCCTAGGTAGCATGGCCACCACCCTCGACGACGAGACGAGTAGGACGGATTAAGCTATCGGCTAGTCAGGGGTTCCCGTCTTTGACGGTTGTCTACAGTACCTGTATTACGCCTTAAAGCCCATAATAATGCCCCACCCTTGTCATCTATCATTTGTCGGCACGAGCCCATTCTAGCGCACACCGGAAGCCATAATTGCCTCCCCGGTGTGATTGCTGCCATGAGGTGCATCGGCTGAGATAGGTATGGTGAACTGCAGTGTGTTTGCAGTTTGGCCGCTGTCAATCAAAACCATGCTTTGATTTAGTTCGACCAGTCAGCCTCCTGGATGTCTTCTGATTTGCTCCATATTCGGCCTGGCCGCCACGCCACCTGCGGTGTAACTGAGTACTTGAGCTGGGCGGTGTAGGATCCCACCTTCTTACTATCTTTCCGGCCTCACGCCAGCAATATTTAACATACCGAGTCTTGCATTTCCTCGAAGGCTGGTGGCCCAAATAATTCATACATTCTTCTGTCTTAACACTTTTGATGCCAATGGCGGCCCAGCGTCCTGTCAACAGCTCAATTCGGGAGATCGATTCGCAGACCTGGTTGATCGGTGACCGACTCCTCCTTTCTCGATCCCCAGCCGCCTCGCCCCGTTGTTTGTGGGGCGACGGTTGTGGCTCATTTTACAGCATCTCCGAGGTGACCGAGGCACCACCCGTACTTCGATCACTCTCGACCCCGTCCTTGGAACTGATACGACTGGTCTACGACGCCGGCGATAGCTCCGCTGTTTGGGCAATTGGTAACGCTTTTCTCAAGATCAAGATCTCCAATCAGCCGAGAACGACACGGGAGCATGCCACACTAGCCGGCGTGAAGGCTATGAAACCTAGCTTCTCCATCCCGGATGTCCTCTATCATGGCGAATGGGACGGCCGACAGTATCTGATTTTATCCAAAGTACCTGGGCTGACCCTTGCCGATGCCTGGCCGACGATGGATGAGACCACAAAGTGTCACTACGTTGACCGAGTTGTGGGTGTTTGCAAGGAGTTAGGGGAGCTTCAAGCCGACCGGATTAGTGGCCTTGATAGGAATGAGCTTCTCGATCCACTCCTCATCAAGCGCGACGCAGAGGAGGATTTTAGTCATGAGAATCTGGTCAAGAGCTGCATGGAATTAGATATGGACTGCTCTAGTTTCATCTTCTCTCACTGCGATTTAGGGCCAGGTAACTTAATCATAGATAATGACGGCTCACTTGGTATCATCGATTGGGAGATGGCGGGGTTCGTACCCAAGGACTGGATCAGGACGAGGTTCTGCATCTCTGGCGGTTTGGATTTGCCTGGTGTAGGTGATGAAAGGGTTGATTGGCGACGACGTATGCAGAGACGGTTGGGTTTAGAAGGATATACTGAAATCGCTGATGAATGGATGAGTTGGTGGAGGGGAGAATAGAAAGGTTTCATTGAGCATTATCTGCGTATTCTCCGGGCACCAGTGTCACGCCCAAGCCCCGACGAATGATACGTGTTCCGTTTTTTGCCATGCTGTTGTTCTGTGGCTGTCTAAGGCCCTAGTTGATGTTATTACTGGGGGTTCTGAAAGAACAAAAGGAGGGACATGCCGGCAAAGCCTCTTATTTGACAACCTGAGGGATGTCCTTGCCGCAAGGTTTGCCATCCTTGGTCCCAGAACATTTGGTAGCTCCAGAAACATTATTGTACTGTACCCACAGCTTGAACAATTGACTGCATTGACTAGATCGAAGGAAGTGACCACTGCCATGATGACTGAACAGTAGCTTTGAGTGGATATGTAGGAAGTTAGGAGAATTCAGTTATAATGTTAGAGATAATGGTAGATGAATTAATGCACGGCTAGTCTAGGCCACAAGCTGTTCTTTTATAGCCAAAAATTATTAGCTCACTTCCTAAACTTCACTGTCCGCTCAAGGCCGCCGGCTAGGAGACATAAAGATATCACTTGCATGAACCACCTCGCTGGCCTGTAATTCCTCAGCCTGCCTCGTTTGATAAGCCAATTGCGTAAAAGAACAAGCCGAATGGCACGATTCCTTGAATACTGGTAGGTCTCATTAAGCAATGCTGACCACCATCAAATCTCAGAATGTTCTCTTCCACGTTGGCGCTAGTCTTATCACTTCTGCGAGTGTCTAGATGAAGCACTGGATATTAGTTCTTAACCCCATCCTACCAACCCCCTCAAGTTTCAGTGATCAGCTGCAGGTCTCTAAGCGCCCACTGGACGCCACACCATTGTGCTCGCTTCATCAGAGTGCAAGGGTTTGTAAATGCTGAGCCGCAATGATCTGAAATTAACGAGACAGCTGCAGAAGCCTTGCGTACGCAATATGTACAATACACGCCCGACTTTAGGTCCTTATCTCCTCGGAGACCATACTTCCTCTTCTTTATGCTTCTCCTCTGGGAATTCGCTAAACCAAAAACGCCGCTCAAATTCTTCGTCATCAGCTCCATTTTGCCCGGTAATTCCAGGGAATGGTTCGTGACCGACCATTAAGAAGATTGTTGCTTGTCACCGAGCAGTATGTTGCAGTG